GAGAGTGATCGATTGGGTGTTCGTGAACTTTTCCTATCCCATTCTTTTTCTTTTGTTCGATTTTTCTTGAGTCTTTGTGTTCGAATTTTTTCGAATTTTATCCTTAATTTTTGAAAAATTTCGTGAGTCTTATAAAAAAAAAGTGTCATCTTGTTAGTCCTTTGTTTGATTTTTGTTCGGTTATTACCTTTTGTTGAGGGGCCAAATTTCTTTTTGTTTCGGTTTTTTTGAGTCTTTTTGGGGGTTCGAATTTTTTAATTTTTCCCTATTTTGTTCTAATTTTAGAGTCAAAAAAGAGAAAAAAAAAATGTCTTATGTGCCAATGGACGAGATGGATTGGGAAGATCTCGAACTATTGGAGAGTTTGGAGAGAGAACTTACCCCATGGGAGAGCACATATCTAGACGAGCTCTATGAACGAAGAAATCGAGAAGAATACGAGCGACAACTCGTAGAAGGCCGAGGAGCAATGGAGGGTGAAGTTCAAAACCGAGAAGATGATGGTGCGCTTAATTTTCTAATCCTTCAGGACAAGGAAAGTCTTGAAGAGGAGGGGAATGATACGGAAGTGGTCATCGACCCAGGCGAGTCCGACGAGGAAGAGGACGATGGTCTCGACATATGGCTGGAAAACATGTTGGAAGAGCCATCAAGCCCGATTTATCGACCATCATGCAAGAGGGACTAGCCGAAAGGGTGTGGTCCACGGGCTAAGCTTAAGCCTAAGAAGCACAAGACCGAACGAGCCCGAAGGAGACGCAAGGCAAAGGCTAAGGAAGCCTACTGTTGGTGCAAGCCTTGTACGAGGAAGAGACGGGCTTGGCAATCGGAGGCTAGAAGGCGAGGTAAGAAAAGGATGGAAGATGGATGGGAATGGCGTGCAGGAGATTGTGCTAGGTTGGATGGGTGGGACCCATGGCCATCGGGCGAACGATCGGAGTCTGGAGTATTCTCATATCCTTTAGAGGAGTTCCGAAATTGTGCTTTCCCAAAGTTCTTCTTGTTCTTCTTCTTAGCATCCGGTTCAGCCTTGCTTTCCTTCACCGAGAAGTCAAAACTGGGAATCGACATGGATTCTTCGGCAATAATAAATTGTTGAGCTCGTACAAGAAACTCTTGAAATGTAGCAGGTTTATTTTGACACAAGGTCCAACGAAACATTGAGTTAGGTTTCAGTCCAGCAATAGCGGTTACTAACAAAGTTTCAGGATGACAGGGCTCCATATTCTGAATTCGGTCGTTGAACTGAGCCACGTAGTCTTAACAGTCTCGTCGTCCTTTTGCACAATGTTGGTAATCGATTCTTTCGGAATGAGACAAATTTGAGCACCGATAAAGTGTGATCGGAAGGCTGTGCGTAACTGTTGCCATTTCCAAATCGAATGAGGTGGGAGAGTATAATACCGTTTTTGGGCTCGTGGCCCCAGTGTAAGTGAAAACATCTGACACCTCAAAGCATCTGAAGCCCCATGTAAATCCATCCAAGACGTATAATGGCCTAAATGTGCATCTGGATCTGACGTCCCATCATACATGCCGATTTGTGGAATCACTTTCACAGGGAGTGCCTCCGCAGTATGTTCGGCGGCTAAAGGAGAATCCGCCTCGACCTCGGGCTGCTCGTGATCAGTATTCGGACAACGTCAGGACAGGTTATCACGCTGTTTATTCCGCCGGAGCAGCTGCCATATATGAATAACTGAAAGGAAAGGGAATTATCCCAGACCCGAGGCCTGTGAGAACTCCTGAAGACAAGTTGGATAAAACTCGGTACTGCGCATACCATAAGTCTCCTGGACACAATACCGACGAGTGTCTCGGTCTTTTATCGGCACTCTTACGTTTAATCGGACAACCCCAGCTTCAAAAGTTTCAAAATTTTGATAATCGCCGGAAAGGAAGACCCTTGGATCTTTCAGACGACGAGGATGAGGATAACCGACCTGCTAACCAGAAAAGAGCTCGTGCAAACGATAAGGAGGTTTTTACGTTTTCTACTCATGTCGGAACCTCGACAGACATCCACAGGAAACTTAAAACACGTGATCCCGTAGATTCTTCACATTGCATACCTCGAGTCAACTCCAATAACAAGCAATTAGATACGTCTCGACGGAAAGTCAAAGCTTATGCTCGGGAGGCACAGAATGCCAAGAAACGAGTCATGAATGTTGATCTCCGAGATACCATCAACAAACGGAATTGCCCTATTACGTTCAGTATTGAAGACGCTAATTTATTCGCCCATCCTCATTCCGATGCTCTCATCATAACCGCCCCGATTGGGGGGATTCCTGTTCATCGGATCTTAGTTAACACATGAGCGTACTCAAGTATTTTGATGCTCCGCACTTTCAAGAAATTGGGTTTGGACCCAGCAGACATTAGGCCGTGTAACGATCAAATTCAAGGTTTCAATGGAAGTATTTCCTGCCCTGTTGGCGAAATATTGCTCCCTATTCGGTTTGGTGGCTTCGGGCCGAAGTCCAAGATCATTATGGAGACTTTCAAGGTCCTGGATGTCCAGAATGAGTATAATGCTGTAATAGGACGAACCGCGCTTTATAAACTTCGTGCTGCTGTGTCGATTTTTCATTATGCTCTGAAGTTCCCCACCATCGAAGGGGAAGACACTCATTACGGAGACCTACGAGAAGCCCGAAGTCTGATGTTGCTCTCAACCTCGCGTAGCCTTCATATGATTGAAGAACAGGATGCTAATAACTTCGTTGAACAGAGTGGTTCAATTCTTGATGCTGAAAGAACTGATCAGTTCATCCCGGATACCGACATGCCTCAAGCAGATACCGACTTGCCACTTATTGATACCGACATCCCTATGACGTCGGCTTTACCTGAAACATCAACTGAAGTCCTCAATCAAGATTCACCTTTTCGCGAGAAAGATGCAAAAATGAATGAAGATATGGATCCACGGATGCAGTTTAAGGATAGAGGTCATCATGTCCGTGTGGAACCAGTCGAAGATATTGAAACCATTTACGTGGACGGATCGGCTCAGCAGAAATCGCTGCGCATTTGGGCCACCCTACAAGAACCCATTCGATCAAGTTTAATTCAGTTTCTCCAGTCGAATTCCGATGTGTTCGCCTGGAAGCATGAAGATATGAAAGGGATTGACCCACAAAAAGCATGCCATCGCTTAAATTTGGACAAAACTGTCAAGCCCGTTATTCAGAAACGTCGGAAATTCGGACCAGACCGCCAGAAGGCCCTCGAAGAGGAAGTAAACAAGCTCATAGATAATAAATTTGTCAAAGAAGACAAGTACCCGACGTGGATATCTAATCCTGTTCTGGTCAAGAAAGCCACCGGCCTTTGGCGTCTGTGTATAGATTTTTCAGACTTGAATCAGGCATGCCCGAAAGATAGCTACCCCATTCCACACATTGATTACATGGTAGACGCTACGTCAGGACACCAACTTATGAGTTTTCTAGATGCCTATTCAGGCTATAATCAGATTCCCATGCACCCTGATGACGCTGAACATACCTCGTTCTATTCAGCTCGAGGCCTTTACTGCTATGTCATGATGACTTTCGGATTGAAGAACGCAGGGGCCACGTATCAGAGATTGGTCAATAAGATTTTTGCTCGCTTAATCGGCCATACGATGGAAGTTTACGTAGACGACATGTTAGTGAAGTCGGAACAGGCCTCTGACCACATCGCCCATCTCTCCGAAGTCTTCGATATACTCCGAGAATATTCCATGGTGCTTAACCCCAAAAAGTGCACTTTCGGAATTGGGTCAGGGAAGTTTCTAGGATACATGGTAAGTCAGAGAGGGATCGAAGCCAATCCCGCCAAGATTCAAGCCATACTTGACCTAGCTCCCCCGACATCTCTCAAAGGCGTCCAAGCTTTAACTGGTCGACTGGCAGCCCTTAATCGGTTCATTTCAAAATCTACGGGTCATTGCAAGCCGTTCTTTGACGCTATCAAAAAGAAGAAACCGTTTGAATGGACCACGGAATGCCAGAATGCTTTTGACAACATTAAAGAAGTTCTTTTACGATTACCGACGTTACAGAAGCCACTTCCTGATGAACCTCTTTATTTGTACCTTGGTGTAAGTGACGTTGCTGTTAGTGTTGTTCTCATACGACAAGATGGACTTCAACAGTTTCCGGTGTATTATGTTATCAAGGCTTTACATGACGCTGAATTGCGATATCCGCATATGGAGAAGTTGGCCTATGCTCTGATCATTGCTGCACGGAAGTTGCGCCCATATTTTTTGGAGCATTCAATTGTTGTGTTTACGACATACCCTCTCCGACAAGTCCTTCACCGACCTGACACGTCGGGAAGAATGATTAAATGGGCGATTGAGTTGGGACAGTTTGATATTCAGTACCGACCACGAACCGCTATCAAAGCTCAAGTACTGTCTGATTTTATCGCCGAATTTACTCCTATTGTCAATGCACCCATTGAAGATCCGACATGGACTCTCTATATTGACGGATCGTCCACTGCTATACGAGCTGGAGGAGGGATTGTCTTAGTTAGTCCTGATCAGCAAGTGTTTTGTTACTCTGTGGCATTTACCTTCCCGGCCACCAACAACGAAGCCGAGTACGAGGCCCTCTTATCAGGTTTACACTTTGCCGAATCCATGAATGTTTCCTCTCTCCGAATATTTTCCGACTCTCAGTTACTAGTCAGCCATATCAATGGTACTTACGAAGTCAAAGAACTACAGTTGTTGCCTTATTTTGATCTCGTCAAAAAAAAGCTGATTCGATTTAAAATGACGTTGGAGCATATACCTCGGTCATCCAATATTCAAGCAGATGCTCTTTCACGATTAGCCTCATCAACCGACTTGAATAATGTTGAGTTCGTGCAAATCACCCAACAGGCGACCTCGTCAACAGTCTCTACCGACGTCGTTATGGTTGACGCTGTCCCGTTAACTTCAAATCCTACATGGCTGGATCCGATCATTGATTATCTTCAAACCGGGGCCTTACCTGAAGACCCGAAAGAAGCTCGTGCCCTTCGCGTTCGTGCTGCTCATTACACCATTGATCAAGGAACGTTATATAAGCGTGGATATTCCACTCCATTGCTTAAATGTTTGTCAGAGATTGACGCTCAACAAATCCTGCAAGAAGTACACGAAGGAGTCTGCAGTACACACCAGGGAGCTCAAACTTTATCTCACAAAATTCTCCGACAAGGTTACTACTGGCCTACCATTAGGAAAGATGCTACGGATTGGGTGCGACGGTGCCACAAGTGCCAAATATTTGCTCCTAACGTTAACCAACATCCTGAACTCCTTAAGTCAATATATAGTCCATGGCCGTTTGCAAAATGGGGAATTGATTTGATCGGCCCACTTCCGACAGCTAAAGGGGGAGTTCGGTTTGCTATATTAGCCGCCGATTATTTCACCAAGTGGGTTGAGGCCGAGCCCCTTGTGACCATCACAGAGCAAAAAATGGTGGATTTTGTATGGAAATCAATCGTTTGTCGGTTTGGAATCCCGAACTCCATTATCACCGACAACGTTTGTCAGTTTGAAGGCAAACGATTTGAAAGTTTCTGTGAAGACTACGGCATCAAGCATTTCTTTTCGTCACCTTATCACCCACAAGCTAATGGACAGATAGAAGCCGTAAACAAGATTACCAAGAATGGCCTGAAAACTCGACTTGAAGCTGCAAAAGGATCATGGCCTGATGAATTGCCTTATGTCCTCTTGTCTTACCGGACGACGACGAGAAATTCAACTGGAGAAACTCCCTTTTCGTTAACTTATGGGGCTGAAGCTGTGATACCGGTTGAACTTGCCTCTCCGACATATCGGATCACTCACTTCTCCGAAGAAACCAACCCAGCAAACTTGAAAACCAGTCTCGATTTGGTTGATGAATTACGGGCTGACGCCGAAGTTCACAATGCCGCTTATAAACAACGAAGTGAAAAATACATAAACTCAAGACTCAAGCCACACTCATTTATCAAAGGAGACCTTGTTCTGAAAAGAGTCACTGGCGCCAATGTCGGCCCGTTACAACCAAAGTGGGAAGGACCCTTTAAAGTAAATCGTCTGATCTCTAATGGCACCTACCGACTTGAGACGTTAGACGGTGTTCCCCTTCAATATCCCTGGCATACGACATACCTGAAGAAATACTACCAATAAATCTGATGGCCAAGATCCTGTTCCTGACATGTAAAAAAGTTCTTGTCCTACTCCTGTACAAGAACCATGTTTTGTTATCAATAAAATTTGTGTGACGAACCTCTGTAATTTGTTCGATCACTCGGACCACAATAAATCGGTCCTTGTTGCTAAGGCTGAACGTGTTTCATACCCTGAAGATGGTATGACCTAGCCAAACGCAGCAAAGCCGGATACTTCCAAGCCCTGAAGATGGTTTGGGGAGGCTTATGCTCTATAATATCAAATCCCGACGTTGATTTGATGAGCTTGCAATAAGCGTTTACAGTACAAAAGCAAGTCTTTTATGACTTGTTCTAATAAGGAGTTTGCGGATGTCGGACGAACTATAAATTATGCCGACACCGAAAACTTGACCGAAAATGTGATATCAAATCCTGACGTTGATTTGATCAACTAACAATAAAATTCTTAAGTTCTTTGAAACATTCAAGGACTTGCACAATAAATATTTTCGATAAAAACGAGTTTGTTGAAACTTGTTCCGATAAAGTTATTGATGTCGGAAATACTGTAAGGTTACACCGATGTCAGTAATTCACATAAATTATCATCAATGTTATGTCTGAAACTTTAATCTGATAAATACTTATTCACTTTTTCCGACATACTCTGACTTGTTACAATAATAAGTCACGATAAAGCATTCATGAAAATATTTCATTCATCAAACATTAATATTTCATTCCAAAATCAAATATTGTCAGTACATTCCTAGAAAAAAGGCAAACAAACGACAAAACAAGCTTAAAACATTAATTTTCTTTGGTCCCAGACGATGACGCCCCTCCTACATTGGAGAGTTGAGGATCCTCGGTCTCAGCCTTGTCCTTGTCAACAACGTCCATATGTTCAATCAACCTTTGGCCTAAGCGCTGAATGACGTCCTCTTCTTTCTCTTCCAATGCTTGGACGACATCGCTTTCTTTAATTATGACGACGTCGTCATCTTCATGCAAAACACGATCGTCGTCAGAAGGGACTGGGTCAGTCACCCAACCTTTAGCTTTGGCGTCATCTTCCGCCACTTTGCGTGCCGCATAACCAATAACCGCGTGTAACACCCCGCTATTTGTAACACATCAGAGTGCGCAATTTTTCGCAAATTTTCTGAATAATTAAACAAAATACTTATTTTTGCGAAAACTGATCGGGATGCTACCGTGAAAACTTGATTTTTTCTGAAAACCGTTTAAAAATTTAAACTGATAAATAAAAACGGTCATAATGTCTTATCCGACAAACATCGGAACAAAGTCTGATAAAAAGTACTGAAAAGATTTAGCG